TGTCCATAGGCCACATCATTGTCACTTATGTCCCTCATATCAACATGTGTTGATGCACAACCACTTCTGTGATGTTAGATGGAATGTTTGTGTCCCATTCTTCACTGGGTGTTGGTCATCAGTACACTCAGTCGCAGTTTTAATGTACTGCTTACTGTACATGGAGTCATCCTGATCAGTAGAAAAGAAACTAGACCTTCCCTCTTTCTTTATGTTAGATGCCCCGCTTTCCTCATTCTCAAACGGCATTTTGAAGTTAACAGTTGTATCAGCAATAGACTCATTAAAAGAATCAAACCCCCTCTCGTAGGTAGGTGAAATAAAGGACGACCCTCTCTCTCTAATTGGAGATCTAACCACTGGATCTACCAAGGTCGCAAAATTTGGAGGCAATTCATTCAAATCAATAGAGGTGTGATTAAGAGGGGTAGAATACCTTACTACTGTACCCTCATCATCAGATGACATGCTGCAGACCACATAATTGATACAAGCAATAAATATGAGTAATATAATCAAAACTCTCATAATACACACAAAAGTAACACCAGTCAAACAGTCTTATAATACTGCAGAATGTGCACTCAAGCGTGCAGCAAGGGTCCTCCTTCAGTGTAACTGTCCCACTCTAGAAAATCAATATCACTGTTACGGTAGTAGCCGTACTAACGAAGAAATAAATAACACAGTCCCTTCATGGGAAACTGCTCACCCCACGGCTTTCAAACAGTCAACCATAGTCCTGCTGGTGAGCGTAGTTCACAAATACAAGGGCAAAACACATCCCTCACAATCAATTCACGCTTTACAGGACATCACCTACCGTGAATGGCAAATAGCTTCGGCTCGTGTCAGGCTAACAACAATCAAGTGTCCATCAACTCCGCTGCAGATGCAACTAGAACTCCCCGTTCAAACTTGTGATGAGCATGGTGCGGTGATCTTAGAGCATCCCCACCATATATAACCTTAGGTGTCGGGTACTTTACCCTTCTACCTTTGGTCACTTACTCTGGTTAACCACTCCTTGGTTCTGGGGATGATGTAGCTCTCAAATCCCAAGTCAGCTTGGGTGCTTGTGTCCATTTATTGATGATAGAAGTTATGGTAAATGTACACAAGGTCCTCAGTTATTTTCTTGGTGCCTGTATTACTTAAATACAACACATACCTAAATGTTGCATTGAAGAGCCTGATAGCTTTTCTGATCCACTGTTAACTTTCCTACTCTTCTGACCCGGAATTCCAATCTACAGAGAGAACCTCTCTGTTCAGCCATGAGCTTCCGAATCCCCGCACCACTCCCGGACAACTAACAAAATACTATCCATGATAATTTTAGCTCCTCCCACCAAAATTATGCTTGACATCATGTGAAATGAGTCCCATCGCTCACCTCCTTATGAACACAAATTTCCATTCCAATCAGTTTTACTGTCAAGCTCCTCTTGACCAAACCCTCAGTTAATTTCCTAAATCATTGGTCAACCGAACATACTCATAACTCAAACAACCCTAAGATGAAAACCCATTTCCCTGTGAGATCGGGATTCGACAATGAATCCCCCAAACAATCATTTCCAATTCCAGCAATCTTGGTAGTTTGGATTTTATTTTACTGCGTATTTCTGCATTTCTGATGCGTATTTTACGCAGATACGCAGCTTATCTGGAGCTCTGATTTTAAGCTAATATTAAAAACCCTTTTTCCAAAATACCCTGGTTATAGAAGACTTTGCATACGCTGATTTATGACACTATCTTTAGCATGACAGTGGTAAAGCCTATAGTAATGTTTGTGTCACCATTGGTCTGCATGACTGGTAAACAACACCTACCCATGGAACCACGAAGGTTTCGGGTGACACCTTGCAGAATGGGAGCCTATTCGTCCTGAAGAAGTGTACATGCTCCAGATTCTGTGGACATGGTATCTTATTGGTTGATCAGTGTGCCTTGTAGCCAATTGCACTCTATTGTAGAGTGGGTGAGTGAGTTCGGTTTAACGCCGCTTTTAACAGTATTCCAGTTATATCACGGCGTGTCAGCTTAATGTGGGAGGAAAGCCCAAAGTGATGCAGGTCTCAGACGTTTAACACTTCGGTGAAACCCACGAGCACGGGTATGGTGCTGACAAACCTAGAAACATAATCGGGGCGAACTGGGATCCGAACCCACAATCATAGGTTTCTGGCCTGCCCAAGGGACGCAACTCTGCACAGCGAATCACTGCGCCTTAGACAACTGGGCCACCCGTGCCCCCAACATATTGTAGAAGTAATGGCAGGTCATACTAGCTGCTCAAAACATCAAGCTCAAACAATTGACAAAGTCTTGGTGGGAAAAAACAGAGGCATACAATAAATTAATCAATATCAAAACAAATATTGTGGGGAGTAAAAGTCTATAAGTATGAAAATAACATGAATTTCAAAAACTGGCTTCAAGATTTCTGACAACTGTGGCAACAACATGAGAGGGACAGTCGGTCAATGGTTAGGTGTGTTTTGAAATCAAGCATGAAATATTTTCCGAGTATGACATCACATGCCCGATCTTATTAAAATAAATATTCAAAACCCAATTACTTTCAATTAACTTGCATACAGAAACTCATGCATTTTTATGAAAAACTATATGAAATGTATTAAAACAGCTCGCACATATTTAGTGGGTATTTATACACAACGAAGCTTTTACAGAAGGTGTACAAAGGAGCTAATTTCTGAGCTAATTTACTTTCCGAGTCAAGCCTATATATTTAGGACAGTTATATACATCTAAAACATTATTTCATTTTTTAAAATCTTAAAATGTTCACTAATTTTGGGAAAAACCTAATAGAGTGATGAATAGATGAGTGAAAACATATTGGTTACTCAATGAAAAATGTAATAACCCAATTAATATAGAACCCTACAGTAAAAACTCAATTGCTCCAAAACTTATCTGGAACTCTGAAAACAACAGAGCTCTACACAGTGATGTCAGCAAATGTATGCACTGTGCAGAGTAAACTGGCTTCAGTCTTGTTTTTTTATCAGAGGCAAATAGAAAACAAAGCTCATATTTTGCTTACGGCTCAGTTACAAAATACTAATTTCCAGCTTGATAAGATCAGAAGCAAGTGTTTATCAAAGCCAAGATTACAATATAAGTATGCCTCAGTTGTATAAAGCCAATCTCTCTCCTACCCAGATCCCCTTGTTGCCAGCTGAGTGCCTCTGACACATCGTCACATCTTACAGAGTCCTTTCATCTGTTTTGGACGACTCTACACATTTTGATAAACATGAAATGAAATGTTTAACTTTCAATGAGAAAATATCCAAAAATGTAAAAAAATATTTCCATTAGCCTATTTATCCTCCAAGTCCTTTCATCGGAACCCTATGGAGAGCTAGCAATACAGTCACTTTGATGTCTAAAGCTCTATTGTCATACACCTCACTGTCGCCGTTGCAATAGTATATCTGCTAAACAATATATAAAGCGCACCGAATGGCTTGCATAAGGCCTGTCTGTTCTAATTTCAGAATAAGAGTGTTTGTTTACGAACATGGTTGGTTGGTTGGTTTGTTGTTTAACGCCGCACTCAGCAATATTCCAGCTATATCACGGCGGTCTGTAAATAATCGAGTCTGGACCAGACAATCCAGTGATTAATATCATGAGCATCGATCCACGCAATTGGGATCAATGACATGCATCAACCAAGTCAGCGAGCCTGACCACCCGATCCCGTTAGTCGCCTTTTACGACAAGCATAGTCACCTTTTACAGCAAGCATGGGTTGCTGAAGACCTATTCTTCCCCGGAATCTTCATTGGTCTTACTAACATGGAAAAAGTCTGGTCACGTGATACCATACACTCTCAATGTGGTCACTGGTGCCGAAGCGGAAGGCAAGCAGAGCCAAGAAAGCTCGGGGTATCGGCTATTGAACTTCAGAATGGTTGACGTCCTGTCCCTTTAACACTGCCTACTCATTTTTTCATTATGTGACAAAAAAAATTTGGACAAAAATCTGGACAAATATACTTCCATCAAGAAGAATTTATATTTTGACAGTATTTTCATGTTTCTGTGTAATATGGAATATTTTTTAATTTACATTATTTACTTTTGAAAATATTGTAACCACATATTGCAATTCTTTTTTGGAGGGTCTATACCCATGTTCTTTTTTATAAGACACCATGACATTTTCACTTATCACAGGCCTCATTATTAACTCCATGTGCTAAATTGTCTTTATACACTTTGATTATTGATTACTGATAATAAAATTCTTAGCCAAAAATTCAATTAGATCTACCTGAATTCTATCAAACAAAAAAATATTAGTCCAGGAAATGGTATGAATCAACCCATTTATGGGTACCATAAGCCAAATTTTGAAAATGTAGATCTAGTAGTGTACTTCTTTTCATAAATTTCACATAATCAAAGTCAAAAGATGGTGGGATAATCTAATTCCCTGCTACATCTTCCTTGCACAGCAAGCAAACAAGCATACCATGATCACTACATATAGCCTAGCCTACTGCACTCGTCTTTATGGGTCGCCAAATAATGCTGCATAAATTGAAAGAAGGTTTAAGTTCTCATGCTCAACGTTTCGGTGATGACTACTGGGTTAATGGGTCAAAACATCCTGTCCTATTCAGAAGCTCAAAGCCATGCCTATATATTTTGACAGATGCGTCCCATTATTGCGTTATAACGAGGTCAAAATCCAGGCTCGACATTTTCCAAATATTTCATTAAACAAGCTGCAAAAATGTTTCAACTCGACTACCATATGGTCAGATAGAAGAAAGCAACTGCTAGCGTATGCTTTGTATCTATCAAACTGTTGTCTCCAAATAAGGAACATTACTTTCGTGGACGTAGACATACAAAGTGCCTTATTTGGAAGGGAACATGGTAGCGCTTGTTCGGATCGCACATTTACAGACGAATTGTCAAATCAGTACAATGACAGTGAAGAAAATTACCAGCCAGTAACTTCGCCGATGCAGAAAAACACCTGACATGAATGTTGATTGGAGATACCCCTCGGAAGGCAACCAAAACTCCCCGAGAACCCAGCGAGGTCAGTCTCTTCAACACACAGGCGGCCATTTTGATATCTCAATAACACGTGACACGAGGCGCATGAAATTCGGTGAAGGGGCCCTCGTTGGGTTTGTCCCAACGGTTTGCCCAAACACGTTTCGATAAGTTTTATATTGAATGCCCATCATGGATATAGGTACTGTGTCTATCAATCATTCCCTAATTGGAAAACGATAAACATGGACCGCAATTGTAGGTCGAATTTGGAAAATATATTCGATAATTTACAGTCACTGCATGATGTCCAATCTTACGCCATATGAAACACGACAAGCCATGTATTTTAAGCTATGTGCTTCCCAAATATCACATTACAGTAAATAATGACATGACCCCAATGGCATGAACCCATTTTAACACATCATCTATAGATACTATTATAGAAAGTTAAAAAGCAATAAATATTTGTTATCTTTATCATATTTAGTACTAATAATATAGTTCAAGGTGTAGAAAGTTTTGTAAGGTCCAAACAGACAGTATCATTTTGTATCTCATATTACTCGTAGCTTTCACCAAAGCGGTAGAAGTATGAGACCTGCTTTCCTCCCACATAAGCCGACACGGGCAATACTCCTTTCTATATGTTAAGGGACTGGTCATCCATTATAAAAAAACATAAATACACAGATTTTACGAAAAAGTGCATTTACTTACACAACAACATTTCCAAAATTTGGGTTATGGTACCCATAAGCATGAGAACTTACAATTTATGCAGAATTATTTAGCGACCCATGCAGACGAGGGCAGTAGGCTAGGCTCCAGGTAGTGATCACGGTATGCTTGTTTGCTGTGCAAGGAAGATGTAGCAGATTAGATTATCCCATCATGTTTTGATTTTGAATTTGTGGAATTTATAAAACAAAGTTCATTTACTACAGTACATACACAAATGCATTTTCAAAATTTGGCTTATGGTACTCATAAATGGGTTGATTTATACCCTCTCCTGGACTAATATTTCTTTGGTTGATAGTATTCAGGTAATTGAATTAGGTGTTAATTAACAATTTTATTATCAATAATCAAAGTTCATAAAAACAATTTAGCACATGGCGTTAATAATGGAAGGCAAGAAATATGTGAAAATGTCATGGTGTCTTATAAGAACAACACGGATATAGACCCTCCAAAAAGGAAATGCATTGTGTGGTAACAATATTTTCAAAAGTAAATTATGTGAACTGGAAGTATTCCACGTTACACTGAAACTTGAAAATACTGTTAAAAAATAAATTCTTTTTTTGATGAAAGTATATTTGTCCAGATTTTTGTCCACATTGTGACAATTTGGTTCATCACAAAATTTTAAAAAAATGAGAAGACAGAGTTAAAGGGACAGGACGTCGACCGTTCTGAAGTTCAATAGCCGATACCCCGAGCTTACTCAGTTCTTCTCGGCTTATTCGTTCCGCACCAGTGACAGCACCGCGGGTATAGGGTATCACGTGACCGGACTTTTGTCTCATTTGTAAACAAACACACTTTTTCTGAAATAAGATCAGGCGGGCCTTATGTAATCTTTTCGTTGTGCTCTTTATATTGTTTTCCATAATTATATAGATATACTGTATATACTGTGACAGTGAGGTGCATGACAATATACCTCTGGACATCAAAGTGACCGTATCACTAACTCTCCGTAGGGCTTCGGTGACAGGACTTGTAGGATATATTGTCAAATGGAAATAGTTTTTTTTCCACGTTATAGGATAGTTTCTCAATGAAGGTTAAACATTTCATGACATATGTTTATCTACATGTGTAGAGTCGTCCAAAATGAAACAGATGAAAAAGACACGAATGGACTGCGTAAATTGTGACGATGTGAAAGAGTTACTCGGTCGTCAACAATGAACTCTGGGTTGGAGAGTGATTGGCTTCATACGACCGAGGCATAATTACATTGTAATCAGGGATTTGATAAACTGTGGCTTCTAATCTAATCAAGCTGCAAATAAGTATTTTGTAACTGAGCCGTAAGAAAAAATTAGCCTTCTCTTTAATTTGCCTTTGATAAAAAGCAAGACTGAAGACAGTTTATTACGCTGCCCAGCGCTTGCGATGTCGGCTGCACCGTGGAGAGGTCGGGGAGAGATTAAGGGAGGAGAAAAAAAGGCGGTCGCCACATTTATCACAGCTAATGGTGAAGGGGTGATAAAATGTTACATAAAATGGAGGGGTCGGCAAAATATGAAAATATTATAAATATCCAGTCCCTAAATGTAGTCCTCTCCAATAAGTTGACTTGTAGGGGGTGGTTTGGGGAGTGGTGAAGGTACTGGTCAGTAGGGGTGGGTTTGCGATACACGCTGGTCTTTTAGTTTGTTGTCAACCTTCTGGACTCTAACATCAAGGAAAGGAGCTGGTTGTTTGTTTCGTCTACATGGTGAACTGCTTTTGTGGGTGTTGGAAAAACAAACCAACAACATTGACAATGACCATTAAATTAAGATTGTTTAGTGGTGAGCTCACGGTAGGCCGTTGGAATGTAATAACCTTGATCACAAGATGTCATTCACAAATCACAAGTGGATAGAAAAGAAAAAGATATCAACAATTTCAAAGCAAGATGCTACTGATGCAAGTGTTAAATCAACTGTTAAACCAATTAACGAGGATAGATTTGCTCCAAAACGTCGTGAAAGTACTCCACATTCAGGGTGGTTACTGACTCGATAGTATGCTGTCAGTACGTTCCCTCAATTTAGTCGTTTTCAACTATGCAAACACCCGTTCTCTGAACAGCGAGGAGTATACCATTCATTTTTCACAGCATATCCGTGATTTGTGCCTCTCAGAAGAAGATTATGTAACTATCGAGAAGAACACACGTGGACAAGCAAACAATGAATTGTTGAGCTCAGCGAGGGGAGGACGATTAACCTCTTCCAATTTTGGACTTGTTTGTAAAACAAAACTGCCTCTGGTAATGCAGTTAAGGCCATTTTGGGTCATTCAACTTTTGATAATGATCGCCAACAATGGGGACGTAATCAGGAGCCTGTTGCAAGGCGAAAATATGCATATCTACTGTAAACACAAATACCGCATGCAAATGTTTTTACATGTGTCTCTATGTGCGGAAGTGTCATCCTAATCTCGGATCCAGTCCTGATGGCGTTGTTCAGATTGGAAATGATTGTCTTTTTGAAATTAAGCGTCCTTACAAGTGGCGACTTTCCACTATACACGAGGCGACAGAAGATCCTCAGTTCTGTTCTTCACGTCAGGCAGGAGAAATTCACTAAACCATACATATTACTACCAAATACAAAGGCACATGGCTCTTTCCCAGATGTAGTGGTGTGATTGTTTCCTATGGACTCTCAAGGACTGTGACGTGGAAAGGATACACTGGGAGGGTTGCATCAATATACTGAATGCCTTATACATGTATATCTTTAACCCTTGGTAACAAGTGGAGGCTGAATTTGTGTGACCTTCTTGGCCCAAGTATTTGGAATGGCCCTTTGTACAATCCGGAAGTTCTTCACACGCTTAATTGTCATTTTAACCTCAATTCTTAAATTTGCTATGCGTCTTGTTTCTTCAACTTCTCTTCTTAAAAACCCCTTTTTCTCAAATAGTGGGATTTGTAACATCGTTCCTGATTGTGTTGTTAGATCAGAAATAGGAAATCCTTTATAGGACATTATTGAATCCCCAGGCTCACAGAGATAACAACATTATTTGGTCATTTGTTTGTCACTTCATACTTCATACTAATCTGCTGATAGTCATACACAGAATACTCACTCCCTTATCCCTGGATTGCTCAGCTACTGGTGTTTAGGCCTCCATTTTTATAGTACTCTCATCAGAGTTGCAATCGAAATGAAATGTTATTAGATTAAAAAAATGATATCTGATGATTACAAAATTGCTATCAGTTCCTGGGGATTGATGTCCATCCTCAGGATTAACAAGAACATTGTAATAGATCTCATTTCAGATTACTCATGTTAATTACAATCCTTAATTGTCTCTATACAAGTAAAACCACACCGAAACTATATATTATTTCACTGTTTCCATTCTCCGGAAGTGAACGTCAAGGGGGATAAACAATCAGGGGGAGATAAGAACTTATTGGAAACTCCACTAGTATGTGACACAAACCATGTAGTACAATACCCGTGAAGATGCCGGTTAGAATAGGTCTTCAGCAACCCATGCTTGCCGTAAAAGGCGACTATGCTTGTCGTAAGAGGCAACTAACGGGGTCGGGTGGTCAGACTCGCTGACTTAGTTGATGCATGTCATCGAACCCACATTAAGTGGATCGATGCTCATGATGTGATCATAACTCACAAGATTGTCTGGTCCAGACTCGATTATTTACAGATCGCCGTCATTATAGCTTGAACATTGCTGAGTGCGGCGTTAAACAACAAACAAATAAACAACATATAGTCCAGAAAATACAAATATCATCTTGTTCTTCTCGCTGTAGATAACATGACTTATATCATGATCAGGTGTTTTTACGCCGACCTTTCAAGACTACGCTGAGGAAAATTGAAGATTTCAAGTTCAGCGATCTCGAGACCACACGAAGAGCCGTAAAATCTCGTTCTGCTGGCTCCTGTTCTGCTGGCTTTGCTTTAGAAAAATGAAAAAGACATTGCGATACTTTCAGAGGAGAGATGCTATAAAGCTATAAATAACTTGTACTTATATACCAAGATATTAAATATAGATGAAATCAATTACGTAATATATAAGCAGATCATTAAAGAAGGTTTTCCTTTTAAACTTGAACAAACAAACAAACAAACAACATATAGTCCAGAAAATACAAATATCATCTTGTTCTTCACGCTGTAGATAACATGACTTATATCATGATCCGGTGTTTTTACGCCGACCTTTCAAGACTACGCTGAGGAAAATTGAAGATTTCAAGTTCAGCGATCTCGAGACCACACGAAGAGCCGTAAAATCTCGTTCTGCTGGCTCCTGTTCTGCTGGCTTTGCTTCAGAAAAAATATAAAAAGACATTGCGACA